TGCAACAAAGTGAGCTTCATCCCAGAGATGCAAGGATGATTGAACATATGTAAATCCATAAGTGATTCACCACATAAACAGAAGCAAAACCAAAGATCATATGACCATTTCAATATATGCAAAAAAAAAGCATCTGACAAAATTTAGCACTCTTTTATAATAAAAACTCTTAACAAAGTAGGCTGAGATGGAATATACCTTAAAATTATAAAAGTCATATATGACAAACCCACAGTCAACATCATACTGAATGGGGAAAAGTTGAAAGTATTCCCACTAAGAACTTGAACAAGATAAGGGTGCCCAGTGTCACCACTTCTATTCAACATGGTGCTGGAAGTCCTGGCTAGAGCAATCAGACAAGAGAAGAAAATCAAGGGTATCCAAATGGGAAAAGAGGAGGTCAAACGATCACTGTTGGCTGATGATATGATCTTATATCTAGAAAACCCCAATGATTACTCCCAGGGACTCCTGAAATTGATAAATAAATTCTTCAAAGTCTTAGGGTACAAAATCAATGTATACAAATCAGTAGCATTCCTATATACCAAAAACAATCAAGCTGAGAACCAAATCAAAGACTAAATATCTTTCACAATATTAATACCTACAAAGAAAATAGATAGCTGAGAATATATTTAATCAAGGAGGTAAAAAATATCTACAAAGAGAACAACAAATCACTGAGGAAGGAAATTGCAGATGATGTAAAAAAAATGGAAAAATATATCATGCTCATGGATTGGCAGAATCAATACTGTTAAAGTGTCCATACTACCCAAATGCAATACGCATCAAAATACCAACGTTGTTTTTTGCAGATCTAGAAAAAATAATTTTATGGTTTGTTTGGAAGCAGAAAAGAGCCTGAATAGTCAAAACAACCTTAAGCCAAAGGAACAAATTTTGAGGTATCCCTTTACCAGACTTTAAGCTATACTACAAGGGATAGCAACCAAAACAGCATTGGACTGGCACAAAAGTAGAGATATATACCAATGGAACAGAATGTAGAACTCAGATATAAAACCATCCACATATTGCCATCTGATCTTTGACATAGTAAACAGCAATACACACTTGGGGAAAGAATCCCTATTCAATAAATAGTGCTGGGAAAATTGGATAGCCACATGTAGAAGATTGAAACAGGATTCCTATCTCTCACCACTCACAAAAATTAATTCAAGATGGATCTTAGACTTAAATCTAAGACATTATACCATATGAATTCTTGAAGAAAATGTTGGAAAAATCCTTCTAGATATCAACCTAGGCAAAGAATTTATGAAGAAGACCCCAAGGGCAATCACAGCAACAACAAAAATAAATAAATGGGACTCGATAAACTAAAAAGCTTCTGCACAACCAAGGGAACAATCAGCAGATCAAACAGACAAGCTACCAAATGGGAGAAAATATTTGCATGCTACACATCTGACAAAGGACTAATAACCAGAATCTACAAAGAACTCAAGCAAATCAGCAAGAAAAAAAAATCAAACAACACCATTAAAAAGTGGGCAAAAGACAAGAACAGAAGCTTTTCAAAAGAAGATAGACTAATGGCCTATGAACATATGAAAAAAAGTTCAACATCACTAATCAGATAAATGCAAATCACAACCACAACGAGATATCACCTAACCTTAGTGAGAATGGCTTTTATCAAAAAGTCCCAAAACAATAGATGCAGAGAGATAGGAACACTTATACACTGTTAATGGGACTGAAACTAGTGCAACCTCTATGGAAAATAGCATGGAGATTCCTTAAAGAACCAAAAGTAGACCTGCCACTTGACCCAGCAATACCACTACTGGGGTATTTAGCCAGAGGAAAACAAGTCATTTTATCAAAAGGACACCTGCACTAGAGTGTTTATTGCAGCACAACACACAATTGCAAAGATGTGGAATCAACCCAAGTGCCTGCCAATTCATGAGTGTATTAATAAAATATGATATATGTATACCATGGAGTACTTCTCAGCCATAAAAAATGAATTAATACCTCTTGAAACAATCTGGATGGAACTGGAGACTATTCTCCCATTGAAGTATGTAAAACATGGAAAAACAAACACCACATGGACTCACTATTAAATTGGAACTAACCGATCAGCACTCATGTGCACAGAAGGAAGTAAAACACAACAGAAATCATGCAGGTGGGAGAGGGGAGAAGGGGATGGGTGAAATCATAACTAATGGATATAATGTGCACTATCTGGGCTATAGGCACACTTATAAATTTGATTCAAGCAGTCCCAAAGCAATCCATGTAACCAAAACATTTATACCCCATAATATTCTGAAATAAAAATAAAAAATAAAAATAAAAGCATTCATTACATTTGACTCCAGGAAAACAACTGCACTTCATCTACAAATTCCAAAGAATTCCATCCAGATACAATGCAATTTGTAGCAACCTGAAATAGGATGCATGAAACTGCAGACTGTCTTTCCTGGTGGAGTAGGGTGTGATACTGCTGTTTAAAGGACCATTATGATGTTGCTGAATGTCAGGTGGACAGTTATGAAGAACTCTACTAAAACTCCCTAGTCTGAAGAGGCAAGGCGTGGTGCTATAAATGTGGAAACCCTCCTAAATCAAATCAACAAGGGAATATCTCTCTGGCTGCTTGGGGTACTTTCTCAAAGGTGGACTGTGATTCTAGCAAGACAGTGATGCTGAGAGTTTCAGGGACTCCTCCCCAGGATGGTCTATATACACACCACCGTGAAAGCTACCACTGCTTCTGCTAGCAATAAAAATAACAAGTGTTCATTTAAAGGGATAAGAAAGACCCAAAGTATTCTTTTTTCCTCCTCATGCCACTCAATACAACAAATCTGACACCAGCTGTGTGATTTTCCCCCATATGTCAACCAAGCAAATTTCCAATGGATGCCAGCTGGGTCTCCTCTAACTCAATTCACTTCTTACATTATCTACCTGGAGATAGATCAATACCACATTTTGAGTCCCACAAGACTGATTCCCACCAGTCACGATGGTAGGTTACCACCTGTATTTCTGACCAATTGGCTATAAAGGGCAGTTCCGACGACCTCCTTTTCAGGCTTAGCTGATTTGCTAGAGAAGCCCACGGAACTCAGGGAAACATTTTACTTATGTTAATGCATCTATTATAAAGGATATTGCAAATGATACAGATGAGCAGCCAGATGGAAGAGATGTGCAGGGTGAGGTCTGGGAGAAGGGGCACCGTGCTCCCATGCTTTCTCTAGGTGCTCCACCCTCCGGGAATCTCCACATGCTCAGCTGTCTGAACAACTATTCCATAGTTCAGGGATTTTTATGGAGGTGACATAGTGTAGGCATGATTGACTATTAACTCCATTTCCAGAGCCTCTTCCTTCTCTGAAGAATGAGGGATGGGGCTGAAAGCTCCAAACTCATCATCATGGCTTGGTCTTTCTGGTGACCAGCCCCTGCCCTGGAGGCCACCAAGAATCATTTTATTATAGCAGAAGATGTTCCTATCACTCAGGGAATTATAGTGGGTATAGGAAGTCTGTGTCAGGAACTGGAATTAAAGACTAAATACTAGAACAAAAGATTCTTGTACCACCTCTGTTCCTCAGGAAATTACAAGAGTTTTAAGAGTTCTATATCAGGAACTGTCTCAAGATACCAAATGTATATTTCTCATTATGTCACAATATTATAGCTAATATTTGTTGCATGCTAAGCACACTAATATAGATTATCTCATTGAGTCCCATAACACTGCTACACTCACTTAAGGAGTGATGAAACAAAAGCCTACCAGGTTCAGGAAAGTTGCTCAGGGCCACACAGCTCGTTCATGGACACAACCATAGGCCATCTGAATCCAGAGCCTTTGCTCTCCTCAACCACACTATAGTTTACCTCTCTCAGTAAATTTTCAGTTTACATCTCCATTTTCACCTCGCTTCTTCAGAAACGTATATCTTTCATGGTCAAATCACTTACTGGGGATAAGGCAGGGTGCCATGATGCCTCTTAAGTGTCCTTCACCTTTGTCCGCCAGCCATGGATGTGGCCCTGGCCCTCAGAATCTCAGGCCTTTCCTCTGTCAGAGGGAAACTCCATCCACCCAGATGTTCCTTCATTCGCCAGGGCAGGTTTTGTCTCATTTCTCTGTTTGAAATTATTTGACTTGGGAGCCAATTGTGGGTTTAAAGCTTTCTCTTAATTGTTTTTTTCCAGAAACAAAAAATCACCAGATCCTTTTACAAAAAGGCAAAACTGCTAGTGGCTTGCCCTGGCATGTGTGGTTTCTTCCCAATGGCGTGCTTATGAGACCTTCTCCCTGACTCCCACAGGACACATATTATCACCAAATAGTAGCCAAGGCCAGAGGTCCACATGAGCATATGTCCCTATTACAGTACTAGCCTTAGAGCAACCATGTATCTAACTCTCCTTTGATCCCCTGGCCATAAGAGTATGAGGAACTATGGTGTATTTTCAAGAAATGTTGAAAACTTTTATCGGATGAAGGAAGGTCTTGAGTACCTACTATTGGAGCAAAAATATTCTCCGCATTATTGGGGAAAAGAGTGATAACCTAACAGATACAGTCCCTGTCCACACAGCTCTTATGGTCTAATGGGGGGATTGATAAGTAAACATGGAATTTACTAAGGAATGAGTGCTTGGATACGATAATACAGTCTCAGTGGGAGTGAGGCAACTATGAGAACAAAGAAGGCAAGAACTAGAGACAAGGGACTTGTCAGGGGTCTGTGGCAACCATCCAGGTGTGAGTGGTACCAGTGAGCATGGGAGACCATTGATTGCCTTTGATGTATTTTGCTCATTTTTCTTTCTAAGTATGGGAGGTTAGGTGGAGCCTAATCATTCACTTCTGTTAATGGATTCTAACCAATTAATCAATGGACACATAAGGCCACATGTGAACCAAAATACATCATGTACTAGCAAAGCTGGGTCTCTCTTTCTCTCTAGTTGTAACTTACCCACTCAGCTCTTGAGCAAGCAGTAGGAAAAAGAAGGATTCTTCTATCGTGGAGTCACATCTAACCTCACACAGTCGGCAGTACTGTGGCTACGATTTTTCATGCCCCTTGCGTCCATCCCCTTTGGTTGTGTCTTCACGTAAGACTTGGCTTTATGTACCGCATTGACCAATAGAATGTGCAGGAAGGAACGGTGTGCCAAATCCGAGCTGAAGCCACGAGAAGCCTTGAGTTCCTTTTTCACGCACTCTCTCTCTCAACTGCTGCTATTTTGTGAAGAAGCCTGGACTACATTGCTGGAGGATGAGAAATCACAAGGAAAAGAGCTCGGTTATCCCATCCAAGGTCATCCAAGACCAGCCTCCCCCATTTGAACACCCAGCCATGTGAAATAGTCCATCCAAGCAAGATAAGCAGAGTTGCCTACCTGGCCCATAGTTGACTGCTGATGCATGAGTGAGCCAAGATGAAACCAGAATCACCTGGTTGACCCATGCACTTCTTGATGTTAATGGCATTGTTTTAAGTCACTGAATTTTGATGTGGTTTGTTACAAAGTGATATCTAACTGGGACATTTTCTGACATGCAAGAGATTCAAGAAAGAGACCAGACAGAAAAAGAAAGATGCTATCACTTTCATTGCTGTGATTTTGTGGCTTATTACTATGACATTACTACAGCCCACATTCTCTCTGATTTAGTCAGCCAATAAAAAGAAGAAAAGAGATCAGAGATAGGAGTCAAATATTCCCTCTGACACTTCTTGAGTAAAGGTCAGAAACAAAGTCTTACTTGGAGGAAAAACAACTTTCTCCTGGATACAAAAGTCACTTACCATACCTACATTCTTACCCTCTTTGTGAATAATTTATTAACTACTCCTCAGATAAACCGTTCATTGGAGAATATAATAAGCTTATTCAAAGACTGTGCATTGGATAGGACAAAAAAAAATAATGCAACAATAATAACAACAAATGCAGAAAGGTCTATAAAACAAAGCTCAACTAATAGACTTTTCATCTTATTTCTTTATTCCCCCCCTCACAAAAAAAAAAAAAACAGTACCTATAGTAGAATGTAACAAAATATAATATATAAAAAATAAGCTGTCAGGCTTCTGAGGCCGTTAGTGCCTAGAGGCAAATATTTCTGCTAAACTTTTGATGGAGCCCTGGGGAGGGTAGGCGAGGGTCCCAGCTGGAGGGGGATTGGCAGCTGGCTGGGAGCTCAACCTGACTCTCCCTTCCTGTTTCACAAAGAAGGGTTTGTTTGGGTTACAGGGCATGGTGAGTGACTCCTTAGAGCCGTGGGGATATGCTGTGTTCTGGGGGAACATCTGGGCTGCCCATTCAAGCCAGGCTGAAACCCTATCCTGGCCAGAGCTGCTCTAATGAATCAGGTGTAGGTGTATTTTTCTAGAATGTTCAAAAACCACATCTTACCCTGAGAAACAGGGTTTTGTCCATAGAAACCTCATTCCCAAGGACAAGCAATCCTCCTTGGTTCCCATGAAGGGTGTGTTTACTGAGGCTTCGTGCCCAGAGAATTCAAAGACTGAAAGCACGATCTCCACACATCCTCCTTCAAAGCGTGCAAGGAACTCTCACCAAGAAAACCTCCGTTCCCATCGGCAGACTCAGTCCATGCCATTCCCACCTCGTGTCCATAATAGAGTTTCAGAAGATCGAGCCATCACTGTGAGCTGAAGGACTGCATTTCTAAATCCCCTTCTTTCCTTTTTCCAAGGATGTTTCCCATAACACTGTCAGATTCTCCACTTCTTATCCCACCTTGATACTGTGCTATTGCTAATAGTAACACTTCTGCTCCCAATACCTTTTATTATTTACCACAAACTCCAGAGATACAGCATTTTTACTGTATGGTAAATATCAATATTTGCATTTAAAGAACACTTAATATTTGAAATAGTTTTACGCAGATCAGTTTAACTGGATGCAATTGATGAATTAGAAAGAAACTTAAATATTATTTCTGTGTTTTATGGCACCCTAATGAGGTTGGTAGAGAAAGGGTTATTTTCCATTATAAAGGAGGTAACTGAGTCATGGATAGTTAGAGGTGGATCTGGGAGTCTTCATGGGAGTCCAGAGTCTTCATGGGAGTCATTAACAGTGGCTTGTTGGTGGCAGGCCAGAGGGGGAGCCAGGATAGGTCCAGTGGGGCAGAGCAGGATAGGTCCAGTGGGGCAGAGCAACAGGGAGAGGGAGAGATGTCACCCAGAAGAGGGGCCTGCACTCATCAGCCAAGAGCCCATGTAGACCCAAGACAAGGTAAGTAATCAAGGCCTCTTGAAAATTAGAATAACTGATGTAAACGTAGTGTAGGAGCTGTAATTTGTGAGAAATACCAAGACAAAACCAATTTTTACAAATCATGAGAATATGGAGGCCAGATTGTAGAATTTATTGGCATACTGATTCCAATTGTTAACAAAATTATTCTAGAAATGCTCAGGTGTAAACATATCTAAGTAGGTCAATTACCATCTTACTTCTCTTATAACCCACTGTGTTAGACATCTGCTAGTTGTCTCTCTAGCATTTAGTTCTCTTCAATTGCTCATAATGTCCTGATTCTACTTTGTGGAATTAACCTCTTTGTCTTTCCCACCTTTGCAATTAGAGAGTGAGGGACCCCAGCCATTTCTTTCCTGAATCCTTCTGACTTGTCAGGTAGTTTGGGTCTATCTTTGAGAAATCTTTATTTCTGTTAGGTCAAATAATTTATTTTCCAGACCTTCATTTGCTAATATACAAATATCTGAGACCCACATGAGATGTCTTTTCATCATCTGACCAAATGAAGTCTATTTCAAAGGATGAATACCTTGAAAATAGGAATTAAAATAGGGAGGATATTTTAACATCAAATGTAGGATTATTAAATAGAGAGAACTATGAGAAATAAAAATGAAAATCATAAAGAACAACCAAGTTATAAATAAATATGGAAATATCTGAGATCTGGGAAGCTTACTGAGCTGATTTTGAATTTCAAGAAATGCTACTACAATAGCAATAAAATACGAGTCATAAGTGACAAGATTAATGGTTTTGATTGAGTGAATATTGGAATCCAAACCACAAAAAAAGTAGATAGATGTTGAAACTTAACAAAACATAAGGCAATCAAACTTTTCATTGATTTTATGGTATTCAACAAATATTTATTGAATGCCTACCAAGTGCCATGCCCTGGTAACTGATACTTGAACTGTATAAACTGAGCTGTAAGTAGACCACTGAAAGTTACTTTTTAATGAAACACTAAAATTTCGGGTCAAGATATTTACACTGAACTATGCATTAACAAAGAGCATTTACTATCCATTTCACATAGGCACCAGATTTGCATTTTCAGTACTTTTCTGTTATACCTCATTAATAAAATGTTTTATTTTATATGATCACACCTGAGTATTGGAAAAAGCTCATTTCTATAAAAAGGGGCCTTGGCATTCTCTCAATTTTGCACATAACGTATTTAACGTAACAGAGTACATCCATACATAGTGTAAGCGGTGTTCACTTTCCATGTACTTATCACTAAAACTAAGGTTTTGAAGTCAGCAATTTTTAAACTAGCATTCTGACTAAGTTAGTTACATGCTTAATAAAGTTATCAAAATTTTCTAAACTACTATTTCCTTATGTCTAAAATGGAGAAATAATATCTAACTTTCAGTTATTAGATAACTATGTAAGGATCTTTCTTAAAACATATAGCACAGTACTTGCACACAGCAGGGCCTCAATGGGAAGTGAATGAATGAGTGAATGAATAAATGAATTATAAAAAGAAAACAAAACAAAGAAATAGTGTATGTCTAGATTTATCTATTTATTTTTTTAAGAACCGTTTTTCACCATGGAAAAATGTTAGATACATTACAGGCAACCACGGAGAGATGTCTCAAGATTCATAGTATATTCTTAATTCTGGTTAATTTATTGTAGCAAAAATTATACATTAAAATTATCATAAAATGTGATTTAAATTGTGTCATGCTATATTTTTTTCATAATAATGAATTTATTTTTCAGGGTATAGTGTGTGCATATAGCCTATTTACATATTTAGATATATTTCCTATACATAATCAGAATTTGAATTACTGGGCCAGTTTTTAGTTAAATAGTTTATAGCCAAATTGTTTCTCAATATATTTGATATTTTTTATCTATGAGAGGACCAATTTGCCTACATCTTCATTAAATTATTTCTTAGGCCAAAGTGGCATTTTTGTCTTAAAATTTTTTAATAGTTTATATGAAATGCACTGAGACTATTTACTATGGCTTATAAAACTGGTTTTACTAATTTGTAAGCATACTTCTAATAACTTTCTTTTATGAAATACTTAAATTCAATTATTATATAATACTATAATAATACATATGTAATACTAGCAGCAAAAATGTAAAGTAATGGGCCCTGATGTTCCAACTGGCACCTTAAATGGTTATGAATCTTTAATACCTACTTTTATGTTAAGCTTCAAGCAATGAGACAGAGAAAAGAAAGGAGATGAGATATTTCCATAGCACTTTACAAAGTGCTATTATGTCATCCTTCAAATCCATAAGCCGTTATTTTGTACCTTGTGAATCATGCTTTGGAACAATCCAACAGTACTTCAGATTCCACCAAATCATGTATTCTTAAAGTCTTCATGTACCTCTCTCAGACTATCCCTCCCTCAGGGGAAAGCAAACTTCCCTAGATTTGGGAACTAGTAGGTCTTAGGTCTCAGCTTCCCCTTGTCCAGAAACAGGACACAAGATAACAAGCAAAGTGACCTTTGCAATTGTCTTTCTCAAAGGAAGCTGAGTCAGTTTTCCCTAATGTGGTACAAAAAAAAAAATGTTTTTATTATTATACGTTGAGAGCACCATCACTTCTCCCCTGGAAGAAGTTGTCCTTGTGAAAATACCTTCAAGAGCCAGCTGGGAGTAGATGAACCCAAGTCTGGTTGATTGCAAAGTAGACTTTGCAGCTCCTCCCATCAAGAAGTGGAGTCTATTTGTCCACCATTAAATCCAAACTGGTTTTGTGACTCACTATGGCAATAGAATGTGGTGGAAGTGACATTCTACTATCCTGAAGCTAGGTCTCAAAAGCTTCGCCCGTCTGCGCTCGCTCTCTGGAAATCCTCTGCTATGCGAATGAGCCCAGGCTACTCCGATGGGTGATGCTCCAAGCGTGAGCATTTTCCTAGCCAGCATTCAGCCAGCCTTGCACCGAGGCCATTCTAGATCAGCCGGCCCCTTGCTGACCCATCAGCTGACTGCAAGAGTGAGCAAAGCCAGCTGAAATCAGCTGAGCCCTCCCTAGAACCACCCAACTGACAAATAGATTAGTGAGCAACAATGAGTGTTCGTTTTTAAGTCCCTGAATTTTGGAATAGTTGATTACTCAGCAACAGCTAACAGATAAACCCACAATCAGCAACATCCGTAAGTATTAGGGCAGCAATGGCTGTGGGAAGCTACTCGGCAGGGATGAGAGGGGAATCGGGTTTTTTCTGTTGATGACAGTGAGCTCCCAAGGTGAGTGGTGTGAAAAAGAGAGGAGGAGAAGAAGGGGAGAAGAACCAAAAACACACAGAGCATGTGTGATTGTACGTGGAAATGCCCAGAGACTCTCCAGGGGGACAGGGTGGCCAAAGGGTATTGAAGATTGATGAGCTATTGTGTTGCCAGGAAGTGAGCATTCACTCCATTTTGCCCCCCGCATTTTCAACATGTTCTACGTAAGTCATTAATGCAACACAAGAGTGGGAAGAGGTCCTGTTGTTGTTTGAGAAAACTAAAGAGAGAGCTGAGCATGTCTCCTGGGTGAAGTGATGTGGTATAAAGATAGTAAGCTTGGAAGTCAGAGCCCAGGTTGCTGAGCCAGCCCTAAAAATATGACCCTCCATGTCTGCTCCCTCATGTGGAATTCACAGGAAATACTGAAGAGTGTTCAGACCTCCACGGGCCACTGAATCTGTAAGGTTGGAAGAAAGAAGGCTGGCCATGTTTAGCTTCATTACCAGTGCAATACAGATCTGCAGCTGATATTTGAGTAACATTCCTCCCATGTAAAGGGTAAAGGGAATCTATCAACACCACTGAACACCTAAGCCCTATCTCATGTAATTCTCACAACTGTACAAAGAAGCGCTTGGTTACCCATGTTATATTTTTAAGGACACTAAGTTTCAGAGACATTAAGGAACGCACTGAATTTCACACATAAATGGTATTCCAAGTCCAGGATCGCTTGACCCTAGCCCACTAATCTTTTGATTCCACCACAACTGCCAGAAGCATTTATCCACACATTAGGTGTACCCACCAGCTGTTTTGTTTGTTGTTGCTGAAATTTAAGTATAACACCTCCCCTAGCAACCTGCAAAGGTCCTTAGCTACCTGCAATGTTTAACAACTGCTTCTACATAAACAGCGTCTCTGGGTTTCATCTTACAGTGTAGTGGGTTCAGGACAGCTTTTGTCTGAGATGTTGCAGCAGGAAGAATGCCTTGGCTATGATCTGGCAGTTGCCTAGTAGGGACTTGGTCAGGTGTAGTCTCTTGGGAAGCACTGGGGCACAGGTGCTCCAGATGGGTGAGGCAGTTTTTCACTGGAGCATGGAGTGTAGCATTAGCCCAAATACCCAACTTCTAGGAGGCAAACACAGATGTTCTGAAACTGTGGTATCCACCTCTTATTTTTTTAGATCTCCAGGGTTCAAAGGAAGTCTCCTAGAGGCCACTGCAAATGGCAAGTGGAAGAGTAATTCAATTAACAACAACAACAGAACTAATATATCTATAGCACTAGGCAGTGTTCTAAGAATTTTGAGTACATTAACACATTAATCATGTTTTCATCCTTATTAGCTACATATGACATTATTGATAGCCCCATTTTACAGGTGAATAAACTGAGATGCAGAGGGGTTAAGGAATATAATCAAGGTTTCACAGTGAGTGGCCCACCAGGGTTTTTCACAGGCAGTTCAGTTCCATTGAACATGCTCCTAAGCACCATAGCATACTATTTTTCAGGCAGAGAAATTGTGCATGCGCACACACACACACACACACACACATATGTCTTCATGGGACTAATATATTGTACTAACAGGACTCACAGGGTGCAATCACAAAACAACTTCATTTCCCTTCCCCTCGACAATTGCCCTTTTAAACTTGTCCCATGGTGGGGGGCGGTGTCCCCTGACCCCGGATGAACTCCTGGATAGATACGCAGCTTCCCTATTCCCTCTAGGATAAGCAACGGAACTCCAGACAGCTTAGCTGCCTAAAACCATCTCTGTTTACTGATGAATATGACCAGCCCAGTGTAACACTGGATACCCCGAACCCCACTCAAAGTGAAAGCTTCTGCCCTCACTCGACCCTGCAGCAGGCTGGAAATCCACCGATGGGGAAGAGAGGCTGGGTCTTTCTGCACTCTGCTGTCTCCTTCCATCCACCACCACACCCTGATGCTGGCTCTGACCCCCTGGTTGAGGGAAGGAGAGATGAGCAGCCAGAGGCTTAAAAATGTCTTCATCAGTGACCGCTTGCATGAATTTGGTCTCCTCTCCCATGTCAGATGTTTGTAATTAACTCTGTCTCTTGTGAATTGTTTTTGTGGGGTTTTCATCTGCAGTTACTTAATGCGGGTGATATATTTTCCAATCACCCTTTACCTGTTAGTTATATGGCTATCTGGGAAAAAAATATCCTTCGACCTGGATATACATGTATCCTCTAAAATTTGACATGTCCGTCAGTTATAAGTGTGCAAACTCTAATGGAAATTTAGCATGTCCTTACGTTATGAATGCAGTTATTAGCAGTACTTGTGATTCTGCCACCACTGAAATCATAGTTTCATAGTACATCGTAATTGCGGAGATATTTCACAATGTTGTTTTCACTTATCACTGCATCATGAAATAGTAGTTATTAGGACTGTTGCCATATCTGGTTATTTAATGTATTAAGAATTTTGAAATATTTTGATTATTTAAATTATGATCAGTGTCTTTGCCAATTTTATGAATTTAATGTATGCACTTAAGACAGCAATCTGAGACGGGTGGTGGTCATCCCTCCACCATCCCATCTCTGCTGTGGTCCCGTCTCCCTTTCCGACAGCCTTCTTGTGCAAAGTCCCTTTAAGGCTTAAGGCGATAGAGTTCTCTCTCTCCTGCTCACAAGGCTGACATCTCCATGGGATCCATGCACCTTCACCAGCGCTTGGCAGCCGCGCAGGTGCTCCCTACCCACAGACCATACTCCATCTGCTGTTCAGGTCTGCTAGTCAGCTGGTGTGCACTGGCGGGGCATCCTGGCTGTGCATATGTTAAAGTGCTCTCGGAACAATTGGTAAATATTAATAACTTCTGCTCTGAGCTCCCCGCACACCCTCTGCCAATGCCCTGGCCTCCCCAGCCTCTGCACAGGGCTTCCAGACCTCCCACTCTTCAGAAGCCTAAGAAGAAATACTTGGCAAAGCAGGACCCTGCAAGAGCTGACTCCAGTTGTACAGCTGAGTTCAGTTCTCATTTGTCAGTGCTCAGGCCTCACTGGTTGTTGGAACCCTTTGGAATATCCACCCTATCCACTGCATCCAAAGGAAGCAATCTAGCTCCCTGATTGGGTCTTTCCAACCTCTCCCCCTAGACTTGAAGCAAGGGAGGGGGCACATCCCCTCCTACCCCACCTTCTTGGAATGGCAGCAGGAAAATGCTCCAATACATTTTCCAAAAAAATGCTCCATTTAATCTAGCACCTCAATCTTTTTATATCTTTCAGGTGGCTTTTGAACCTTATATATTGAGGGGCCATATTAAATGTTCATTCACTGAAATTACAACTGACAACCAATTCTAACACACACATACACATGCACACACATGCACATATGCCCACGTACACCTAACTGTTCTTGGCCATAAGCCATTCCCACGGGGCAGACCATTGAACTTCCGATTTTTCAGCATTGACATTTGGAAAAGCCTTAAACTTGAAGGCAGAGAAAACTAATAGCCCGAGGCCTCCTATCCAAAGATAGATTCCCTAGTCCTGAGCTGTCCCCTTTGTATGGCATTGCAGTGCCTCCTCCACATAGGAGGCTGGCCCTCCTGCCCCTCCTGTTCTGACATTCCCTGCTACATACCCAGTCCCCCCACCCCACCCCACCCTGCCCCAAGTTTATTACCCAGGTATAAACTGTCAGGCCCTGCCTGGTCTGTGTTACAAAATAGACACAAACCAGCAGGCCAGACTGCCATGGGCTGATTTCCTGGGTAGCCAGTCTGTCACTCTCAGGTCCTAGTGCCATTTTAAGAAAATAAAATTCTAGAACGTGGAACAAACAGAGAGAAAGCCCCTGCTTCATTTGTTGTTGACGTGTCAGTGCTTCGTGGATTTGACTCTTAGAGGGTAGGCATTGTCTTGTTACTCTGGCATTTAACAGGGTCTGCCTTCAGTGACTCAGCCAGGGTTTCCTTAGACAGTAAACAGCCACTTATTGCCTTTTACTCCACCGAGAAAATGAGATTACTCCTTGAGGAGATCAGCAACTCGCCACCGCTGTCGAAAGGGCGCTTTGCCCGTTTGCTTGGCTGCGAGACACCACGCAGCCCCAGCTTGTTTAAAATTAGCTTCCCCATAAATCACTGGCACAATGAAGTGCCTGCCGCTGCCCTCTGACATATTTGTGTCTCTGTTTATTTTTAATGATGACATGGCTTTTTCTGTCTCCATTTGGCTCTTTATTTTCCACACTCCTGAAACACTACATTCTGTGCCAGAAGCACAAAAACCTAAGAAACTGCAGGGAAGAAAGATTTCCCTATCTACCAGCCCACAAAGGTAGTGGGGAAACTGAGTTAGCCCTGGGGTGTTTCTGTAGGAAACTGCCTCTTTTCTACCTGGATCAGATTACTATATCCTAAAAAGGTCCCCCTGTGAAGGGGCAAGAGGGTGATGGCGATGTTCTTCAACTTGATAGGGGTTTGGGT